GAAACGTCAGCCTCTCTGCTCCTATGATGCTGCTTGGCCTGCTGTGTTCATCCAGCCCTGCACCTTGTTGTCTCGGATTCTCCAGCATCTGCAGTTCCTACTATCCCAGACTGCACTTCAAACTGGCCTGCTCCAGAGGTATCAGAATATGTATGGACAGGTTGATTAATAATATCTATTCCGATATTCATTTATTAGGAGCAACAGGATCCAAAAACATTCACTGGATTCCTGTTGGGGAAAAAAAGGGGGTACTCTGACTTTGTGGTGTTCCTACCTCTGGATCAAGAGGCCTGGGTTCAAGTCTCACCTGCTTCAGAAATGTGATTAGAAAATATGTACCTTGGCTTTGTAGGGGTTGATGTGGTAGCGTCCCTACCTCTGAGCTAGAAGACCCAGGTTCATCCCACCTGCTTCAGAGATTACCACAAACAACTCTCCTTCTCAACCTCTCCTCTCATGCAAGGCATGGTGACCCTCAGGTTAAACCAGCACTAGTTGTCTCTCATTGATGAGAGAGCAGCCCTATAGTCCAGTTGGAGGGCTCTGAACCAGGAGACGCAGATTCAAATTCCCACCTGCCCCAGGTATGTAAAATATCTTCACTAGCCAGGTTAATTAATGATATCTACCCTGGCTTAGTAAGCATCAGACTTTTAATCTGAGGGTCCAGGGTTCAAGTCCCTGTCTGGGTGTTTAGATTCTTGTGGTGCAATGGTAGTGTCCGTACCTGTGAGCCAGAAGGACTGGGTTCAGGTCCCACCCGTTCCAGAGGTGTACCATAATGTCACTGAATAGCTTGATCAGAATATATCTATCCTGGTTTAATGGGCTCTTGTGGTGCGATGACAGTGTCCCCACTTGTGACCATGAGGCTAAGGTTCAAGTCCTACCTGCACGAGAGATACGGAATAACATCTCTGAATAGTTTGACTAAGAAGAACACTGGCTGTTGTGGCACAGTGGGAAGTGTCCTTTCCTCTGAGCCAAGGAGGCCTGGGTACAAGTCCCAGTTGCTCCAGACATAACATCTATATATAGGCTGTTTAGAAAATATCTACCCTGAAAAACTGGGGCCTTTTGTGGTGTAATGATAGTGCATCTTCATCTGAGCCAGGAAGCCCGTGTTCGAGTCCTGGATGTGTGTCATAACGACTCTGAAAAGGTTGATTTAAATAATCACCCAGTCAAAACTCCTGCAGTGATATCCCGGGACTAGGGATGATTGGCTCCTAACAACGATCACTATTTTCCTTTGCACTTGATATGATTCCAAGTAGTACAGAGTTTTCCTCACAGCTCCCATCAACTTGGATTTTGATACAGCTCCTCGATGCTACATTAGCTAAATGGTGCCTTGATTTCAAGGGTGGTCACTCTTACCTCACCTGAATTCAACTATTCAAAATTGGACCAACAGTGTGAAGGCAACAGCCAAGTGTCAGAGGCAGACCACAAACTGTACATTAGCGAGCAGGTCACTGCCTTTTAAGTGCTAACTCACAGAATTGTTACGGAACAGAACATGGCCATTTAGTTTATCACGTCACCACCTGCTCCTTGACAGCACTGTTGATGATGCCTTTCTCACTTTGCTGACGATTAAGAGTGTGGGGTGGTAATTTGATCAAATTGGATTTGGTTTTCAGGGCATTAACTTGAATCTTTAGCTAGTAGCATTACCATTGCACCAAAGTCCATTATTCTTTAACACCATACACTGGTGGTCCAACTTCATGCTAATTTCTTAAGAGAAGTTTTCTCAACACTTTCTCTCAACTGATTATCCATCAAAACAAAACCAGGCAGCTTACACTTCAGAATATTTTGTTAACACTTGTTGAACAAGACTGGAAAGCATGGGCGTGCCGTTTGTTCTGCAATCCAATCCAGTTTTGCAACACAAAAATCAGTATCCCATTGACGTATCCACAAATCACCAACCTCACCCCCGAAACAAATAATAAAACAGCCCAAATTGCAAGGAAAACAGATGCTGCTGGAAAGATTCCACTGGTGGTACATTCCTTTCAAACACCCAAATCAAACAAAAAACAAGACATACAAGAGCATTAGTTCTTCTCAACAAACTGCCAGCAAATGGCGCCTCTTTTAAGTCGAGTCCTCAACTCTCCCCCATTTTGAACTTGAAGACGAAGCACAACCGTCGAACATAATTGAAAAGAAAGCTCCCTGATGCTTTGGATTCATGCCTGATGTTCTGTGGTGGTATTAATCTTACCTAAACAGAGCGCATTAGCCAGTAGATCACCTCCAATCCCCGACTCTCCGCAGCCAGACACAGGAGAGGGTGGCGGGGAGGGGTAGACCCTCCGCCCACGCTGCCAGCCTCGCGCCACAGCACGTGCTTCCCTCGCTCGTGCCTCATCGACTTTACCGCCCCCTCCTAACACAAAACAGGCCGCTCGTCGCCCATTGGCTCTGGACTCGGCGAAGACGGACCAATCCCCGCGTCCTGTCGGCTTCACACTGCGCCGGCGCGCCGCGCGTGAGGAGTCAAACTGATCATTTTGGAATGTACCGCACGCGGGTTTTAAATGGTGAAGAGGGAGGGCCGCGAGGAGGAGGAGGGGCATGAGGAAGGACAACAGAAGGAGCAAGAAGGGGAGGGACGATGGCTCAGGGGTTAGCATTGCTGCCTCACAGAGCCAGGGGCCCGGGTTCAATCCTACCCTAAGGTGATTGCGTGGAGTTTGCATTTCTCCCCCTGTCTGCGAGGATTTCCTCCCACAGCCAAAGATCTGCAGCTTCGGTGGATTGGCCATGCTAAGTAGACCATAGTGTGCAAGGTAGGTCAGTCATGCATAGGGAACGGAGGTTTACAGAGATGTAGGGAGTAGTGGGCCTGAGTGGGACGCCCTTCAGAGGATTGTTACAGACTCGATGGGATATGGTGGGTGAAGGATGTGAGGGGATTGGATATGTGGAAAAGAGAACAAATGTGAGTAGGGCAGTTGAGGTGATGAAAATGAAACAACTGTAGGGGATGGGAATGAAGTGATTGAAATGGGATGAGGGTGGAAGGTTGATGGTGGGGTGGGAAATTAAGGAGTGGGTAGGAGAAGGTAGAGAAAAGTTGTTCATGATAAAACGTGCAACTTGTCTTTGGCTTCATACAAACATTTGCAGTTTAGCCACAGTGTCCAGCATCAATTACATATGATAATTAGACCAAAATTGCTCTAATTATGACTTTCGTTCAAACATCAAAAACAAAGAGCTGAATTCCAGAGGTGAGGCAAGAATGGCTGCCCTTGACAATAAAGGAGCCCTAGCAAAATGAGAATGAAGAGGGAAAAAATGCTGCTGGTTGAAGTCATACCTGCTACAAAGGAAGATGGTTGTGGTTGAGGTCAGTCATCTCTGCAGGAGATCCTCTGGGTGGTAACCTGGTTTCAATAATCTTGCTTCTATCATAAGATCAGAAGTGGCGATATTCGCTGATGATTGTATAAAGTACAGCACCAATCCTCAGTTACCAAAGAAGTCTATGTTCAAGTGCAAAACGATGGGACAATATCCAGGCTTGGGCTGACAAGTGGCAAATAACATTTGTGCCATGACTACTATCAACATCCTAGAAGTTACCATCAACAAGAAACTGAAATGGACTGGTCATAATATTGCTGGTCACAGTGACTACAAGAGCAGGTTAGAGTTTAGGAGTTGTGTAGCAAGTAATTGACCCCCGACTTCCCAAACCTGTCCATCATCAACAAGGCATAGATCAGGAGTATGATGGAATAGTCTCCCTCGTGGCTGAACGAGTGCAGCTCTAACAACACTCAAGCAGCTTAATACCACCCATGACAAAACAACCTACATCATTGGCACCACATCCACAAACATTCACTCCATCACCAACACACAGTAACAGCAATATTTACCATCTACAAGATGTGTGCCTCAAGTTCACCAAAGCTCTTTAGACAACACTTTTCAAACTCAAGACCACTACGATCTGGCAGGGCAAAGGATGCAGATACATAGAAACATCTCCACCTGCAAAGTTCCTCTCCATGTTCCTCATCATTCTGACTTGGAAATACATTGCTGCAGGGTTAGTATCCTGGAACTACCTCAATGATGACATTGTGGGTGTACCTACATCAAATGGACAGCAGCATTCAAGAAGGCAGCTCACTGTGATCTTTTCAAGGGCAACTGGGATGGACAGAAAATGATGGCCCAGTCAATGATGCCAACATCCCATGAATGAATAATAAGAAAATGAACTGAATACTCAGGGATACTCTGCTATTGATACAAGACTGATTTACATCATTTTGCCAACATTTTGAGTTGAAGGGATGGAGAATTTGCAGCTCTAAATAAGATTCCTATTTGCATCTGAAGGGTATTTAATCTTGGGCTGACAGTAGAAAGTAACATTCACAGCTGAAGGTTAGAGAGAATGAATGTTTGTGGATGGGGTACTGATCAGGCAGGCTGTTTTGTCCTGGAAGATGGCAAGCTTCTGAAGTAGCTTGGAGCTACACTCATCTAGGGAAGTGTACACTCCTTACTTGTGCTCCATTGATGGAGGAGAGGCTTTAGGGAATGGGAAGGTAATTTTCTTTGTCTTGCAGTCATAGCAACTCATTAACATGACCAGCTCACTTTCTGATCAGCAGTGATTCTCAGTAATTTAATGTGGAGAGAGTCACTGACATAACGCAAAGGTGGTTAGACTCTTTTGATGGAGATAGTCATTGTCTGACTGACCTGATGACAATTAACATTCACACCATACAAGCTTGGATGCATTAACTCACCAAGTCTCCATCAACAGCACTTTTCAAACTCCCAATTTTCATGTCTAGAAGGACAAAGGCAAGAGACATGGAAAAACCAACATCTGCACATTCCAATCCAAGCCATTCACCACCCTGACTTAGAAATAGATTGCTAGTGGGTCAACATCCTGGAATTCTTTTCCTAACAACATTATAGGTATCCCTGCATCTCAAGGACTTTGAAGAAGAAAGGTCACCACCTTTTTCTCAAGGGCAATTGGGGATGGGCAACAAATGTTTGGTTAGTCAGTGATGAACACATCCTGTGAACTAACATGAAAAAATACTTCTGGTTTCCTGCAGGCAGGTATGAACTTCTTTGTTATCTGACAAATTGCAACTATAATTGAATACTCAGCAATCATCAGCAAGCTGAAGACAGTTGTATCAAACATGTTGCCCTGAAGAACTTGTGTAGCAAATGTTCTGGGTCTGAGACGATGGATTTCCAAAGAACAGAACCATCTCCATCTGTGCTAAGCATGATTCTAGTTGGTGGATGCCCCAAGAAAGTGAATTTAAAATGATATTTATTGGGCTAAGAGGAACAGGAGTTCTGCTGCTCCAGACTATACAGGCTTTCTGCCCAAATGAATTTCCTTGCTGCTGCATTCTGCACCACTCCCCCCCCCCCCCCCCCCCCCCCCCCCCCCCCCCC